AAAATGCTCTTCAAGAACGGTAGTTCAGATAAAACCTCTAAAAGGCACAACACGGCCTAGATAAAAATTAGTACAAAGCTCAGAAAACCTGAAAACCTACTCAAGGATCTATATATTCAAAAGTGAGTACAAACAGTATATGAGTACTGACCTATGCAAAGCAACTAAAATCAAGTAAATGACTTGTACTGCAGGTTATCGCAGTAGACAAAATTTACCGTATTTCTGTAGAAATGTGAAAAATAGAGGAGCATGAGCACTGGGTTACCTTATCTACCAAGCTTTACCCATCAAATTACTCATCACCACGGCAAGGTCAAGCCCGACAACTAATCCCAATGAACCGCTGGTCAGATAGCCAAGTGCTGCTGAAATAAGGCATGTCCGATCTTGCCATAGTTGTTGCTTATCGAATCTAGAATATAAGGGCATACAAAAATTGATAAAACCTTTGCGAAAAAAATTCCACCTTAATCGATAGCATTTATCGTACAATCGTACTGTATTCATATCACGCAGAGCGAGATATGTGAGTAAAGGTCCCATAACTGCACCAATTAAAGCACCATTTGTTCCACCCTTGACGAATCTCTCACTAAATTTACATTCTACCAAAATGGACATTGTGGATTAAACTTCTGGAAAACTGAAAACTTACGTAAGTGCTTTTGAGTTCGTATTTTTCGTATCGAATATCATGGCAGAAAGAGGACCAAGAACGGAACCAAGCAAAGCCCCTGTCTGCAATAAACTTTGGGGATTTTTCTATTTCTGAAAAGTTTCGTTCAAAAATCCCCCTCACCCCCTCCCCCAACCAAACAAGCTATCTCTTAAACTATCCAAATTGCATTTATAGGCCATCAATAAGCTCGATATTTTGAAAAAAAGTGTAAACATAAATAAAATGGTCTCACCTGAATACTCCTGAAAGTCACATGTACACAAAACTCCGTGCTAGGCCTCGGCACTTTTAACATCTCGAAATCGGACTGCGGTATGCCCACGAAGTTCTTCAACCAATAGGTGCTCATGCTAAAGGAACTCAGAACAATATTAGGCAAGCTAGACGGTCAGAACAAAAGCAAAGTCCAATTTTCACCCATAATTTGA